TAACTCTGACATGCAATCTTATTTGCATCAATGTTAAGTGCAGTCCTAGTTATGAAATTATTATAATACATTTAATGAAATAATTTAAGAAAATTAAAGGCACTTTAGGAAATTTATCAATTGGACCTTACTTTTAATGTGCAATCTTATATATATCTGTGTGCATATCATAAGGATTAATAAGGCACAATAACCTCTTCTCATTCGATTAACCATTTCATGTTCATGGATTGATATTTCAGAAAACTAACCCGGTGGTAGCAGAGATTTTCTCTCTTATGTCCAGGGATGAAGCTAGGCATGCAGGGTAATAACACGATTACTCACCCTTCGTGTCAACGTACTTTGCTGCTTCTGCTCCAACTGACCATCTCTTTTATGGATTGCAGGTTCCTGAACAAGGGTTTGTCTGATTTCAATCTGGCATTAGACCTGGGGTTCTTGACAAAGGCAAGGAAATATACTTTCTTCAAGCCGAAATTCATATTTTATGCTACTTATTTATCTGAGAAAATTGGATACTGGAGGTACATTACCATATACAGACATCTCAAAGCCAATCCTGAGTACCAATGCTACCCAATTTTCAAGTACTTTGAGAACTGGTGCCAGGATGAGAACCGTCATGGTGATTTCTTCTCTGCTTTGCTTAAGGCACAGCCTCAGTTCCTCAATGATTGGAAGGCAAAGTTGTGGTCTCGATTCTTCTGCCTCTCGGTAATCTTTTCATCCCTACATGAACTTTAATGATCAACCATTTCATTTGGTTGAACGTACATGAGACTGATAATCTAAGTACTTATTTGTCTCCTCCAGGTGTACGTGACAATGTACCTTAATGACTGTCAACGAACTGCTTTCTACGAGGGCATTGGGCTTAACACCAAAGAATTTGACATGCATGTCATCATCGAGGTTAGCTTCCTAGTTGCATTTCAATTTCCTTCTCACAGTGAGTCTGGAGATTTTGGTGGATGTATGTTGTGACAGACCACATTCTCTATGTGCAGACAAACAGGACAACCGCTCGGATTTTCCCAGCTGTGCCGGATGTTGAGAACCCCGAGTTCAAGAGGAAGTTGGACAGTATGGTGGAGATTAACCAGAAGTTGATTGCTGTTGGGGAGAGCCAGGACATTCCCCTGGTGAAGAACTTGAAGAGGATCCCACTGATCACAGCATTGGCTTCTGAGCTCTTGGCTGCATATCTGATGCCACCCATTGAATCTGGATCTGTTGATTTTGCTGAGTTTGAACCACAGCTCGTATACTGATATCTTGGATCTTGTACAAGTGCCAATTGTCCGGTCAACTTTTACATTCAGTTTTGATGTCAGTATGATCTCAAGAATTAGCCCATGGGACTAGGGAAACGTTGCAGCGGAGGGTGTAACTTGTTTCTGTTGTAGTAATATAAAACTTGTTTGATTGCAAATTAGCCATTAGGATCACATAATCCTTAACAAGATCCATCCATCTGTTCTTGGTTTATAGTTCCGTGCATTATGAACCGTAAAACAATTCATCTACTCGAGGAAGATGTTCATCTTACTCCCACTGATAAATTTCCATTTTTGAAATTCATTTTTTCCCTCGATTTTCCTTTCGTTAAACCCTGAACCCATCATGCAAAGCAGAGAAGGAACCCATCATGCAACGCAGAGAAGAAGACGACGACCAAGAAATTCAATCCCTTTGCAGCCATTTCTACTCTGTTTTCCCTAAATCCTCCACCGGAATCACTAAATAATGCTCTCCATCAAACCAGTGGCGAAATCTGCTTGTTCCATTTTGTTGCGGGATTCCCAGTTCTGTACTTACTCTTCTCTGCTTCAAGCTCCGGCCCCCAACAACTCCGCCACCCTGAAGCTGAGCGCCGAGGAGATGGTGGCACCGTTCAAGTCGTGGTTTAAGGCCCAGAACTCGCCGCTGCTCGACCAATTCTTCACCATCTTGACTGCCAAAAAATCCATCGCTGCTCGGTGCCTTAATTTGATTGATTATATCAAGCATATATCATTTTAAAATTAAAAATTATGAAAGAAATATGCAATTTTAATTCTTGAGTGGAACTGGTTGTGCTAAAATTTTCTTTACTACCTTGCTTTTCATTTGTGTGATCAAGAAATTCTTTGTTTAGCTGGCTGTACTGTACATTATTCTGTATGGGGGAGCCTGTTGGATTCTTGTGGCTCTATATTCAAATGGCCTCTTCCCCAATTGTCAATATTTGGAAGTTGGATGCTTTAACATGGTATTAGAGCCCACTTTCATTTCTGCCCCATTTCCTTGAAAACTAGAATCCTAGTTGCTGCTTCATTGCGCATTGGTAGCCTTCTGTTTTCCATGTTTTAGGCGCCCATCTTAACATTTGTTCAATGCCGGAGGATTGTTAAGTGGGAAAATAATCCCATTAAAAAGGGTTTTTTTGTGGCATTATGATCAAGTTGAACCTTTCTACTTATTGTCAATTGATTTTAAATTAAATGTTTTAATAAAAGAATGGAGATTTTAAACAACTAATGGTACCAAGAAGTCGGGGATTTCCAGTTAAGCACTAATTAAGTAAGAACCAAACTGGTGCTTATTGATCTGAACTTCTTAGCAAATCTATTCTGTCTTGGCTTCTTGGTAGGCATCGGCTTGGAGTAATGTGAGGGCTAAACTGGTGCTCTTATATCTTCATGGCATTAGAAGGCATCATGTATGAAATGATTTCAGTGTTTTAAGGAAGAACTAGGGTATTTAAAGAGCTTATGGCAGGCCGCATGCCTTTTTAGCTTTCTTTCAATAGATCTTGAGAGACTGCCTATCTCACTTCATATTTCAATTTATCAAATTTTATCTTGTTCCAAAGTTTTTGCCCTTTGGGGAATAGTAGAATAGATTTGCTTTTCCCCATCTCTAGACGTACCCTTGCGTCTATATCATTACATTTTTTTGCGTCTATATCATTACCTTCTTTCCTTGCAAATTAAAGGAGGCATGAGATTCGCACGCTGATCCTAATTGTCCCAATATTCCTTACACATCATTTCCTTTAATACACAGGTTAAATGAAATAAAATTTCAGAATGGCCTATTTTCAACGCCTAATAACTTATAGGCCCTTTTTGATTGCTTTCTCAATAAACACTGGAATGAATGACAAAGTTAGAGAAAGAAAATATAGAGAATAATTAGCAAAGAAAATATAAAAAGGCCATGAAATGATTCTTTCAAGTTTTTTTTTTTTTGGAAAAAAATGGTCTTTTCAGTTAGTGTGTTATTTTTTGGAGTTAACAGTTTAGTTTCCTGTTCAACATTTTAAGCATACATAATTTCTACAACCGTTACCACCTCTAGCCAAAATGAAAAAACAAAAAACTTACCACAACAGAGAGTATCAAGCCCACAATTATTATGGGATAACACTCATCAACATGTTTAGTGTTCTTATCTTTGATCTTCATGTACATCTTCATAAAGAAAGCAATTGGAGGGCCAGCGATAAGGAATGAAGAGAGAAACATTGATGCCACATCAGGACCAAATATCAACCTCCCACCACAAAAGAATCTCTGTTACAGCCAAGAGAACCAATAGATAGCATTAGCAGTTATTACAATGGCATCCACAAACCACAATCAATACAAGTAATTTAGCAAGCTAGATATCTTAATGAGCAAAAACCAATTCCTTAAATATTTTAAAATGAGAAATAGATCTGTGAAGTTATAAAAGGGATGGGATTTCCACTACTATTACCAACAATGAGCCCTCAATAACCACAGCCTGCCCAAGATCTAAGCTGGTGATGAATAATGAGATGATTAATCACCCACAGTTGCCACTAAAATTAAAGTAAAGCAATCAAATATTTATGATGAACAAATAACTGCATGAAAAACATGGTCTACTTGTTATGCAATAAGCGAAAGGCCAAAAGCAGTGACCACAAAAGAAAAGAAGAAGACCCAGAGCATGTATTTTTACTGAAAGTCTGACACATATAATTAATCTGCTATTGTTACACTTAAAATTAATTTTAAATAGTAAAATATTGAGTCACAGAGTCTGCTTACT